AATATTTTCCGACATTTGATGTGGAGCTGGCGGGGAGAGACGTCGCGTCCTCTGTTAGATTTGCATATAAACAAGGAGCACGGATGGCAACTTTGTGTCAGTCTTTTGGTTAATAAAATGTATATTAGTGGTGTAGGTATTGTTTTATAAAGCGTCTTACGTTGTGTTAAATATTGTCAAAGTATTTCGTATACATAATAATCCAACATAAGAGCAACGAATGAAAAATTAAACTAAGATTATAATGTTAATTCGTCGTAAACCATATCCTAGCACAAGCCTAGAGCTTACTTGGAATGGTTAAAGAAATATTAGTAAATTTACAAAAAAAATCTGTAAATATATTTTTATAAAAAAAATGAAGTATTGAGTACTTACAGCTTCTAATTTACATTATAATATAAACTAGAAGCAAAAATATATTCATTTTAATGTAAATATTTAACTAAATAATCATAACTAAATAATTTTAATATAAACATCAGAGTAACCAGAGTTGTGTATATTTTTTTTTATTAACTTAGCCCTCCAAATATTGTGACATCAAAAGAGCTGTTGCGGTTTTCAGCAAATTTCGCATCAATTAACATGCAAATATTCGTCGGCCAATAGTTAATTGCATCACTGAGAACATTGCTAACATACTATTGATCAAGTTTTGTTTCAACGAAAACACATTTACTTTATCCGTATTGAAATATAATCTGTTTATTTAACAATTTATACGCAATGTATATGCAATACAAAATGTTTGTATGAAGTATTACACGTATCAGTATAAAATAACACGAACGAGGTACTCCGTCCGAGGCAAGTCCGCACCTCAGATAACTACAATTTGCATTTTAATTGGCAGAGGATCAAATAAAAAAAAACTGCCCTGGCTTTTCCTCTCATATATATTTTTCCATTTAAACGCATGTTTACTTTATTTTCAATGTTTAAATATTGTCAATACACACCTTCCTATCAGCTTTAAATAAATAGAGGCATTTGCCTTTTTATCAGATATTATGTTACGATATGATAGTATTTATATTCTTATATTATTAACTTATTTAAATTTGCCGTTACCGTATTTAAAACAGTAAAACACAAAATAAACAAACAGTGAGGTAATTCTCTATGGATTTTTCTCCCTTCTAACGCACTTTACTCAAACACCCAAGAGAAAATAAACAAGATGAAATAGGAAAAGTGTTAAATCCGGGCTTTCGTTATTATTCTTCAGTAGGAAATATTCAGAAAAGCTGAATAAAGCACACGGTCGTGTTTTGACACGAAATTGAATAGAGGTTTAAGAGACGCTGTCTGTGAGATTTTCTCGCAAACCTTTGATCTCTATTCACGAATTAATTTAAACATTTTTAACTTAATAGAATTTAAAGAAAACAGCGAAATGTTTCAAGAAAAATGGTACAAATTAATCATATTTTGTATGAAATGGTGACGTTTTACTTAAATTATTAATTATATGTTTTGTTAAAAAGAGTAAAATATTAAATAACAACAATACTCGCTCGTGTAACGAAGTCATAAGACACATGTGTCTAATTTTGCTTGAAAAAAATAATATATCCGACATTTGTATGGAATCAAAAGCATGTAGATCAATTTACATTTTAATTGACAGGAATGGGGATGATCAATTTCGTGCGGCTGAGGCACGGGGTAGCGGGGGCAGCGGGGTGGAGAGAGACACAAAAATATTCGCAACAATAAATATTCACTGTGTCCCCGCTGAATTGTAGGACATCGTAAACAAACAAATCCGATTCCGTAAAAGTGACGGGTGAAATGTTATTTATTTGTTTTTGTTGTATCAAAAAGTTGCTCGTAAATTAACAACCCTTGATTTGGCATATATCAAGTTGAGGGAACGTAGCGTTTGTTTTTATTTATCTTACCATACAATGGACTCAGCATAAGAAAAAAATTAATCGAGAAATATTAAAATGTTACGAACGGAATGTTTTTAATTAAATATTTTGTGATTTAATGAACGATTGTATGATTTAGTATTTTTTAGCGAATTGTCACAAAAACAAAGCCTTAGGATCCATTAAAATTGACTGCGAACATTTAAATGAGATTTTAACAGTTTCGACGTGAAATTTTGTTTTTAATAACGGCGAGGATAAATTATGTTCACCGCATAAATAACATCGAAAAGGCAATAAATTACAGACGCTGACGTCTCTGTGTCCCGGCTTTCTTGTTTATGTATGGCCGCTGTCCTGGGAATATTGGGAAAGTTGATTTTTTGATTATATACAAATCTATTCAATTAAACAACGAGATGGAACACTGGCTGAAATATGCAATATTTATAATCATAATCATGGGCGCGAGATTCGAGTACCAGCAAAAAATATGTTGTTTTTCTTCTTTATCACAATTTTTCTTCATACATTGTTATCAATTGTATGTAAATATGTGGTAGTTTGTTTGTAAGTTTGAACCAACTCACCCATAGCAAAGAGGATGACGAGGGCGGTCCCGAGCCAGGAGGTCATGTTGTCTAGAGCGCGACCCTCGTACGATCACATCCCACACGACTCCCGAATATCATCACATTTGTTTATTCTTTCTGTCCCTGGAAACAAACAAATACAATTAATTGTAGTCGATACATTCGTTAGGGTAAAACTTATCTGTTGAACACTGATTTATGTTAAACATGAAACACGACCAACTGTCTTAGCATAGAATCAAATCCAAAATTAACTGTCACGATTATATTTACTTGGCCACGAAGCTGCGTTAAAATGTTCATCGTACATTTGAATGTTACAATAAATTTACTTTACTTCAAATCGTATTAAAGCTGGCCAAAAGTTTACGCCATTAAAAACAAGAAGTGTAACGCTAGCCAAGTCGCTAGAAAGCGGACCATACCCGAGTGTGTGCATGAACTTAACGCGGCGACACTCTGGCCACACCACACTCCGTCATATAAGCTTCCAAGTCATAAAACAAGCAAGAAGTAATATTAAAGCGCGCCCTTATCCGCGGCGAGTTCGGGTGCCATTTATCAGCGCGGCGTCGGTCGGGGCACTCGTCTCCGAGTTTTATGTTCTGCCAGATTCACATCTTAGTACCAATTTTAATTGCTTTTCGTGGAATAAAATTGGGGTATCGTCTTAACCTACTTTTGTTATATTCAAAGAGGTCTAAACAGCTTTGATGAGAACAGAACTTTTTATTAGTTAAATTTGAATGTTTCAATGTGAGAAATCATTGCGAGTATGCCTTTCCATGAAATAGATTCTTAAAACATACTTAAGTAACAACTAAAATGTAACTTATAATATAACCACCGAATTTGAGCGGCCAAATTTATCAGAGCAAGCAGAGATTCTCCGCCTGTCGAGATTACATCGTGCAATGTAAAAGCTTATTTTTTAATTGCGTTTTCCCGAGTTAAGTAAATCTCTAATTAATTTAACATTTTTAACTTCAACAAATATTCCAAGTTAGCGGCCAACCTTTAAGACTGAAGAGGCACTGGATGAAGAAGAAGAACTTCAAGCATTGTACAGGAATTTGTGATATATTAATTTTACTTAAATTACTTTTTTCACGAAGAAGTATGACTATAGAAAAAGCAAAATTGATATTGTTAAGAGTTATTAGTACAAACTCTTACAAAGAACTATTTCCATTTCTAAATTTAGGCAAGGTATTATTTTGTTAGAAGCACTGCACGTAAACTACTACATTTTATTGTTGTTTCCTCCCAGAAAGTGCGGTTTTATTGTTAGAAAAATCTAGACAAAGTGAATAATTTACAATATTTTTTATACTAAGCCCTCGCTCCAGCACAAAGCATGGCTAGGAGATACAATATTCCTCTCGCTAATTAGTCAGTCAGTCGCAGCTAACTCCTGACTCCTGAGACCTTACACCATTGTTGAAGCGAGATCTTCCACGCGCCAGTCCCGAACGGTCCATTCAACTCTTTATCTAACTTTATAATCCTTTTTGTCAGCTTAAAGTTGCTTAATCTGTTTTAATGAATAATTGAATCTATAAGTACTATTTATTAAGAAAACGTAGAATTCCTCTACCATGATATTTGTGTTACTGAATATTGCTTTCTTTGTTGGTGTCAAATGTTATGAAAGAGATGATAATATGTATCAGTACAAGTGTCACATTAGTCAGAAGCGGAGTTCTACTGTGAGATATTTTTGAAAACCAAACAGCCTGGTCTTGATGAACAGGAAAAACGCCATCCATCTTTAAAGTTCGGAGAGAAAACAAAATAATCCGGCGACCGAAAAAAGCTTTTTGCTGTTATTTACTTTAGAATTGCTTTTGTTTACAACGTTAAAGGAAACGGTAACGTAATTCAATAGAATATACATTACGTTGTTTACAAAACAACTCTAAAAGCTTTTGCTAAGGCAATAGATATTTATATTGTTTTTTTTTCCGCTTTAAATGTTTAATACACAATTAATAAGTGTTCCACCGATTCAATGATGCTTATAAAGTATTCATATTGTTAAAGCACTTAACTTCCCCGGAATTTATTTGAAAGTTTAATTGAGTTGAATAGCATGTTTGATTACCCGCCGCGCTGTAATAATCACTACAAAAAGCTAGAACGGATGAGCCGCCATTCGTTCTCAATGTTTGAACTCCGCGACAGAATTACCACAATACACCCCGTCTCTTAAAAGTCTAGTCTGTCTGAAAACTTTTTATCATTTTATTGACATTCCTATCTCGTAATATTCAACTCTAAGTCTTACTACTAAGAGTGATTTTAGCTTGCAGCTCGTTATGAAAATACATCATTACCCAAGCTTTTTGAATCAATTATGCAGCGGTGTAACGAGACGCAATAAAGAGGAGCCACTCGCGCCCCATTCACACATCTACAGATGTAAGTTTATACTTTTAACTTTTATAAGCCGCAGCATCATTTATTTTCTTTTTTCTTAATTTTTTTACATTTAAATGTAAAATAAACAACGTCGTTTAACAATATCTTCACTTAAAAAGTTGTATACATGCGATTAGTTGGAACCACCATTATTTTTCCAAAGCTATCGGCAACGGATTTAATTAAAAATGTTATAAAGTAGGACAAAGGAAAACACACTATTTTTAGACAATTAATGAATTAGTAATTTAAATACAGTAGTAAATTAAGAGACAAAGGTGGCAGTCTGTCAGTCGCCGGGCGGCGCGCGCCCTCACGCGGTGAACCCCCACGCGATCACATACTATTGTGGTAAGCACAAAGCAGCATACATAATTCATATAATACTTATTTTATTGCAGTATAACTTTAAACTAAAACAAGATACTAAGTCTCTTCATTTAAAAAAAACAGGTCCTAACTTTACCGTAGCTTATCTCAAAGCCTGTAAATATTATAACATTTATGAAGTAACAATACTTTTGTATTATAAACATTGAACGATATTATACATTTTATTAACATGTATATTTTACAAAAGCCCGTAATTTTTATTGAATTTAAATAAATGTGTTAGATTGTGGTTATTCTAAAACTTAAAAAACCCGAGTCATTTTGTGTAAAAAAATACAAGGGAATTATGAAATTTACTTTGTAATTGCTTATATTTAATATGATAATTCATTATTAAAGAAATTAAGTTATTAAGTTCTTGGATTTTTAAATACTAAGTAATAATATAAAAAATAAAATGTATGTAATAGTGCGGCATGACACGGACTACCATATGACTGGATCAACATCCATTTAATATCAGCTGACCGGCGGCAGATATAACCTCACTTTGTCATCTCCGTACAGAACATCTCCCCGGCTTCTTTCTGCCGAGGAGGTGCGACCTCACCGCAGCGGAATATTAATTAATGACCACTCCAAGGAACTTTAACCCTACGAGTCGCAGGCCAACCCTTAATTACTACGTACCTAGCGTTTTTCAACTGCGTTTCTTTCACACTGTGTGTAGCACCGGTTTGCGGGAAAGGGATGGATGTGTGACGCGGCGAGCGGCGAGCGGGCGACCGCCGGCCGTCGTGTCGCGAGCCTGACTAAATCTGTGCCGATCGTCGCCAGGTCAGGTCAACCTAGGGCCTGGGCCACACTACTTTATTAAGAATAATAAATTAAGTAAATGTTTTAGCAACCCGCCCGGTTCTCAGCACCAATTTGGAAGATACGTAGAACGTCAATGTGTGTCTGCTCTATTTTATTCATTTAGAAATCGAGATTTTTGTACATGACGCTCGTTGTAAAACTCCATATAGATTATTTGAATTAAACACACTAGAAATAATGTTGATGGTTTTCTTAAAACTTCTAAGTTCAGAAAATCCTTGAATTGAACGGCTAAATTCCAATGAACAATAGATTGTAGCGGTAGAGGACATTAAGAAGGTACAGATCTCCCGACGTGCAACAATTTTGAACAAATATTAATAGATCAATATTTTGTATGAAAGAAGTCTTTAATCCTATATTAAATTTCGATCAAATTGCACAGTCAGTGTGAAGCGAGCTTAACTCAGCTTCCCACCAACACAGGCCTGTGTACATACGCACACCACCGACTCTTCCTGCGTCACGTTTGATACGCTCCTGTTGGTGTGCATAAGTCGCCTCTATGTGTGGGTTATCCTGAAAATGGCCGCTCAGGATGTGACGCATGCGCGGGAAAACAACCTCCTTAAAACTCGCTTAAAACGATTTCTGATCAATTTTAAAACTTATTCGCATTGAGTTAAGGAACCCTGTAATTTTGAAGATTTAAAATGTTGTGTTCACTCCGTTGTATGGCGCGTTTTTGAAGTTCAGACTTGGGGAAGGTAAAGGACACTTCTTGGATGCAAGAGTGCGCGCAGTGAATCAAAATAGGGGCTAACATATGTCGTTGATTTGCGTACGAGCGCAGAGTCTTTTGAAATTCTACCATGATTTCTTTCTCCCTTGATAACGACCCCACAGCGTGGGGCTTGTAGTGCCCACTTCACACGACAATTTCCTTCCCGCGCTTCAACCACAATTAAAAAATATTTCATTTATATTTAGTCTTCCTTAAAACAGATTTAATTCTACCTAAAGTGAAACATGACGCTTAGGTAACTGTCTCTAATGAAAAGCTGGAACTATATTAAATGATTAACTTTTATTTATTAATTTATTTCAGAAAGTGGCATCAGAGCCATCGACTCATCCGATGAAGCAGTCAATGTCTGGTTCGATATTGTGGGTTAATAATTTGATACAGTGAAGTATCGTAAAATTATATTGTAAAAGTCAATTAGTATCACATGGCGACCGGAGTGCGGCGTGCGGCGTGCGGCGTGCGGCGTGCGGCGTGCGGCGTGCGGTCCACGTGACTACTAATTGGACAACCGCAACGATGCGGCCGGTGCCTCCCTCGAAGTCACACGACCAGAACAATCCCACATACAAATTATCATACCTATATTAGCTATTTATTACATATACTTACTATACACATACTACATTTTATCTTGAACTTACGATTGATTTATTTGAATCTAGACATAAAATCTAGTTTCCTGACTTATCATAGGATATCATAGACAGGAGTTCTAAAAGGGGGATGACATTAGATGGATTCACCTGGTAACGTTAAAAGCTTTTAGTCATCTAGAAATATTTTCCTGTTAAAAATGAAAATGGACTGCATATCATGCATGCACACATGCTCGTCTCTAGACAAAGTTGTCAGTTTAAGCTGAAATGTTTTCTTTTATATAGATACTATTTCGCATGGATTTTATTTTAATAAACGGTGAGTAATTTAAGTGCGTAGATTTTTTAAATTAATAAAGTTTAAAAGCTACAAAGGTAGATGATGTTGTCTGATGTAGTAATAAGAAAGCAAATATTGTGCGCGATGTCCTGCTGCGAGTTTTGGTAGCGAGCCAATCTATAGCGATAAGCAAATGAGAGTTAATGAATCTAAGTACCGCTTACTTAAACTACATTTTAATATGGATGAAGTATATCAAACACAAATAAATTACTTTTCTCTCACTTTAATGATACTAATATTTTTATCGACAAACTTTATATTTTACAGAATGTTTTATCATTAAAAAATGCAATACTTGTTATAATTACAGTTAATGGACTACGGCCGGACGCGCGCTGCTGTGATCCGCAACATCCTGATTTGGCGGAAAAAAAACTGAAGAGCAATCACGTTTCAGTAATTAGTTAGTCGCTTGTCGATGGATCGCAGCCAAGCTCCAACTGATTGCATTTTTAATGATGTATTGACTCGCGAAGTCACAACCCGCGGATTATTGAAAGCGACGCGGCGCTTCAAATCAAGGAACTTGAAATATACTTTATTCAAGTAATTGTTCCTTTTCTTAACTGAAACATTATGAGTGTAAGTAAATAAGTCAAAAATTCATAAAAGACATCAGAGATATGATAATGTGGTCAGTTTTTAAAGTTGTTTGAAATGGTGGATTTATGAATCTATTACATATATTTTTGTCGAAAGTTGACAAATGTTCGAAAAAATTATCGATAAGCTGAGTAAACATCTATATTAATATCAAACGAAGGCTGTATGAATTTATGATATCTATTAAAATTAATCCGATGCCAAAACAACGCTGTGTTTCTTATCTTGGCCAAGAAAAGCTTTCTTGGTGCTCTACTGACACATATTGTGGCGTAAAGCCAACAATAAACGGATAACTAAAATATTAAGCTTCTCAAATAAACTAGAAAAAATACTGTCTATTATAGTAACGTTAGTATAATTATTGATTCGTTAATGGAAGAGTACATAATGTGCCGACCCTCCCCCTACATAGGGATAACAGTAGGACAATCATGAATCTTTACAAGGTCATACTACGAAGTTTGAAATTATTCTTATTATGTTTATAAGCGTAACTTATTTACTTGGTGGTCACATGAATAAAATATTTATGTTTTAATTTTGTGTGTCTGTGTGTGTTTACGTGGAAATAATAGCTTTTTTATGGTTTTACATTTCAGCTCGGTGCTAGTTACATTCCGAATGTCCATTACAGGATTTTATGTTAGCAATACTCGAGCTGCGAACGCGTTATTTCTTTAATAAAGACCCAAATAAAGTTACAACTTTATTTTGCGGCATTCTTTGTGTAATTCTTATAATGTTTATACAAAAACATTTCAAAGGTAAATATACTTATTTTTTACATTTGGGATTATTAACAACAAAAATACTATTTACAATGGCGCAAGGAAAACATTATTTTTATGGTAATAATTTGCTGAGTTCTTCAAAGAAACTAGGTTCGATGTATTGCAGTCATTTAATATTTGCGAAAAAAAAACGCAATGTATATTAATTTTTTGGTAGATATTCCAATGTTAAAACGAAAAAAAAACAAACAATTTTTAGCTTAAATTTCCTCGCTGGTGCGAAGTATTGATAGAGTTGTTTTCACTAATCGCCGAAGCGTATCGAGATCAAATAACTGGTTTCAACAAAAAAACTCGTCGGGATTTTAGCGTTTCGATTTTATAGCATATCCTGTCACACATATCACTTAAATAGATTTGACTTTTATACAATATCAAAATATTATAGATAAAACAAACTTCTACTTTCCATAACGCTTATTAACTTAAAATATGCAATGTTTGTATAAAGATTCCCAATAATTAACCATATCCATCGAGAAGGTCTGCAACATTGATCTGCATCAACTGTACACTCTATATTTTGTAGTTATTACTTCGTCAAAGATTCATTAAGAGTAGCAAAGTAGCTACAAGTGCTACAAGGTACGATCTACAATAGCTACGTATGCCTCTACGTTAGTGCTACAGGGCACGATTCAGTTATGGGAAATAATGTAAACGGCGCCCTAATACATTTTAAATTGAAACAAATATTGATGCTTGTCATGGCCGGAAAACTATGTAATATTACCAAAAAATGGTAATATTTTATAAAATAAGGAATAGTATTTCCGCGCTTGCAAAAGGACTATCATTACTTATAAAACCCTTGGACTTTATTCAGGAGTGTGTCACTCAGTCCGTAATCAGCTAAGGAGCCTTCTACAGCGGTGGCTGGCGGGCAGCAGTGCAGTCACGTAGCAATAATTAATATCTCATTTCGCACTGGCTCTCAGCCAACTTGTAGGTAATAATAATCAAAACATCAAATGAAACATTAAAATAGCAGTGATAAAATTCATTTTTTTAGTAGTTCCTTTATACCCATAACTCTTTTTTTAGTGCATAGCAGGATCACATACAAATACCTCAGGAGCATGTCTTAAGGGCCCTGGAGATGCTGTTGGTTCGTGTAACGTACGTAAACTGTACGTAGATGTACCGCCGCCACTCGATTCTCTAAATCAGCACTGTCACCCGTCACTTGCTTACACGTCTCGCAGCTTATTAATTAATACATATGTACAACGTCTATGTTACACCGCTTGTATTATTTATGTGATTCTTGTATCTCTAACTGGCAAAGTAATTGCTTATAATATATTAGTTGTAACCAGACATAAGCAACTGCTTAGTGTTATCAGATGCTTTACAATGTCGTTATCTTAGGTAATAAGTTGATTCGGCTGTGGGTCAATCAATCTCTAACACTCCTCTCCTAAACTCTGCTAAAACTGTAAACATTTCTTTGAAAATATAAAGGAGTTTGAATGAAACCATCAATATGATTTATTTTTCTTTTATTCGTAAAATATTTACATTGGCCGTGTCGGGCAGTGATAGTTAATTCAGAAATTGTCAATAAAATTACAAGCACAGTACATACAATAGATCTTTGTATTTGTATATGTAATTTGTCTTTATTTCAACATACTATATGTATTGAGTAAAAGTTAAAAGATTGCTTTCTAAGATTATTTTAATGCAAAATTTAAAAAATCAGTTTGTCAATATAAAAATTATTTGTTTTATATAAATTGTTATCAAAATCATTATAGTATTATATTTTGTACGAAATTTATTTCAACATATAAACATAAACGAATAAAAATTGAATCTCTTTATGATTCATT